GTCCTATGATAAAAATCTTGTATACTTGTGATGTGCGCCCACTAGGTGACATAGGATCTGGGTTCAATGGCCTGATCCATCAAGGGCCTCCTTATGTTCTTTCCTCTCCTCTTGGGTCCATAAGCTGTCACATATTAACAACCGTCTTGATGATAAAGGTAGTGTCAGCCTCTGCTTTGCTGTTGCTTCGGCTGCCATGAAACAGGGAGNTGACTCTGTAAACCGCTTAGAGAGGGCTGAAAGCCCTATGAAGCGGTATATAAGTCTAACTTCTATTGCTATTGCTATTAAAGTTGCAAGTAAGAAGGAAATATAAAATAAACAAAAAACTTGCACTGTTATATCTATATGTTAAGACTATTGTCATTTATTGGCTTCAAGTTCAACATATTTTACACCCGATACCATGGCCTCCTTTGAGAGTACTTCACTCAAGCACATATATCGGGTGTACTTTTTAAGGGCATATTGGTTTTAGATAATGAGATTGAAGTTAATCAACAGTTTTGAAATCTAGAGGCCATTTTATTGCATATATTCATTGTTAAATGGAAAGCTAAATTTCAATTATAGGTTATGGAAATGAAGGGTTTTTTCCCCCCATCCCAGTTCATGGACCCTGTGAAATTTATTCATGGATTCCCCAAGTGTCTGTAGACCCCAGGCTAAGAATCCCTGTGCCATATTAATAAAAGTAGCAGTAATTTTGTAATGATGTTTGAAAATAAAACATTGATAGTCTTAGATGAGCAGAAAATGCTGTTTCCTCTGAAACATGGGTAATTTCCATGACTGAAGTCAAGTCAAGATAGAGTGGTGATGCAAAACAAGTAGCGCTATGTTATGTATGTGGGGGAATAACAGATTACTCTTTTTGTTCCCACGTTTAAGAGAAAGGACTGGGAGTAATAGTTTGCAATTTAAAGTGCATTTGTCCTATTTTAACCACTATTTTTTGAAATCACAAGAAGCCATGCTATTTTTTGGTGTGCTATCAGAATTCTGCAGTTGAATTCAGATTCTCAGGATTGCAAAACTGTGATGTAAAATATCAAAGAATTTGAAAGAGGATTTCCTTCGTCAGTGTTGAATGGAACCAGGAATAGGTTCATGTTTCTGCTTCAGGCTGAGTGGTGAATAATCAGTCATGAATCTTGGCTGGAAGCATATACAGTTGCAAGAAAAAGTATGTGAACCCCTTGGGATTATGTGGAGTTTTNGCCCCCTAGAGTCGGGAACAACTAGCACATATGTGCAAGGGAAACTTTTACCTTTATCTGTCATAGACAGGGAGGCACAATCTATTAACTTTATGATTATGATAGCGAAATTTGGAGCTCCGATATCCACTTTCCATGATTCACCAAGGGAATCAGATAAATGTTGAAGCAGCTTTAATAATTTAGATTTAACCCTTTAGATTTAACTGAAACTAAAGGTTATCAGCCAAGTGTCTCCCTCAGTAGCAGAACCTGTGTGTCACTTATGCATCTGTCTGTCCAGTATTGCTGCTGCTTCTATCTACTTGTTGGAATACTAGTAAGATGGAAATGTTTATCCAACTTGGGTGAGAGGGTGTCCTTTCTTTAGAAGGTGTGCTTGCAACATGCCAATTCTTCACTGCTGGATTTTCCATGAAAGAAGGAATAATGAGGAAGCTTGAATAGTAGCTGCTGCAAGCTTGAAAACTTTCCAAATTAGAGGATGAATTCAGGATAGGCAACCCCTCTAAAGCATGGGGGGAGGGATCAAAGCTGGCATTCAAGTCAGTAGTATTGGGGTGGCTTTCAATTAAACCCCATTGCCCAGAAGAACCTACTGTACAACCTTTCCTAACATGCTGCCCATCAGATGTGTCGGATTGTAGGTTTCATCCCTCCCAGCCAGCAGGGTCAAAGAATGAGTGGCACTAGTAATATGCTAAAATATATTCCTTAAGTGCCTATTCTGTACCTCTGTCTGAAACAATATGAATCCTAATGGAGGCATATAAAGAACAGGATACATGAATGGAATTGCTATATTTTAATTGATCTCGTGCTGTTAACTAAATTTACATAAAATGAACACAAAACATGATGGATATTAGGTCATGGATGGAAGAATAGTTGCCATTTGTTTGGAATGCCATTTGTGTGCTTCCTAAGGTGATACTAGAAGTAAAAGTTGTTTTGATTGATGAAAATGATTATCAGAAAATGAGATCTCAATTTTGAGACATTTAACAGACTGTGTGCCATAGTCAAAATGCTAGTTAGCTGCAAACTGTTCCTACTCTTCCCCCCTCCCCCGACATTTTGGCATGACCTAGGGCAGTGGTTCTCAACCTGTGGGTCGGGACCCCTTTGGGAGTTGATCGACTTTCACAGGGGTCACCTAAGACCATTGGAAAATACATATTTTTGAAAAAATATGGAAAGCATAAAATATTTTTATGGTTGGGGGTCACCACAACATGAGGAACTGTATTAAAGGGTCACGGCATTAGGAAGGTTGAGACCCACTGACCTAGAGCCTTTAAAGTTGAGCTGAGGTGGCGCAGTGCTTAAATGCAGNTGTTTAAAAAAGCCTCTAAAAAAGTGCCCTCTACAAGAGGATGGAGGAGAATGACGTGCCTCATCTACGTCAGGAATTTTTAGGCTTTTAACTCTTGATTAACTTTGCTCGAGTGATCATAAAACGCCTAAAGTCAGACTAGATGAGGGACGTCATTCTCCTGCCTCCTCCTGTAAAGAGCGCTTTTTTAGAGGCTTTTTTAAATAGTTAAGCAGAGACATCCATGGTGACTCTGGCAGCAACTACCTCAGCCTTTTTCCTTTTGCATTTTTTTTTCTTTTCATGATGACAGTGGTGAGGCTCTGCCTCCCCTGCCTCCCCTGACTGCACATGCCTGTATTTCAGTAATGAAAATAATACAGTAGCCCTCAAGTTTTCTAGGGTGGTGCATTCCTCAGTGGCTGGCTGCAGTGTCTAAGTAAAAAGAATACAAGTGACATAGCAAATGGAGAGCAGAAGGCCTAATGAGAACAGGCTTAATGGCAAGGATGTCCATTTTATAATTACTTATTGGAGTTGCTCAAATATTCCCGCAACAACAACAACAACAATTCTGTACCCATTACTCCATTTTAAATCCATTTTTTTCTGCTAGGAGTTACATCCCATTCATTTCCAATCTTTGTAAATAAATATAATTACCTAGACTATTTCCATGGGGTCATTTAAAAATCCAGCACAGTTTAAAGCTAATATAGTAATATCTATTTGCGAAGTGCTGTAGCTTAATGCCATTTGCAGCACGAGTGCAGAAATGATCACCATCCATGAGGATAACAGAAATAAAATGTGTAACTGCTGTATCCATATAAAACAGATGGAACCTTAATAGTCTCAGATCACTCATTATTCAGTGATTACTGTCAAACTGTTTGGCAAATTGTTCTAGATTATGATTACCCAAAGGCTATAGATATTTTTCTGGGCAGAGCAAAGACTGTCAACAGTATCCAGTCCCAGAGCTCCAGAATCTGTCCTGGTATATATATATATATATTTAAAGTCACAGCATAAAATATAACATATATATATATATATATATATATATATATAT